CTCCCCTCCTCCCCCGCCACCCTCCCTCCCAACGTGCAGCTCCGCAAATTTAAATTCAGCCTTCCCGTACCTGCGGGTAAAACGAACGTCCCCGTAAAATCTTTGGCAGGAAAATTATTTTCTCAGAGATTTTAAAAGCTAGGGGAATGAAATCTTACGATAATGCTCTCTGTCCTCATTCAATCTCGCAGACGTAAATTCAGCCTTCCCACACGTCCGAGTGTCACTTACGGCCCCGTGAAAGTTTTGGTGAGGAAAATTATCTCGAGAACCATGAAAGTTGGGGACCTGGAATTTTAGGGTGATATCCCCTGTCAACATAGGACCCCCGCAGATTTAGATTCAGCCTTCATGCCGGTTGCGGCCGCGCAAAAGTTTTGATAGGGAAATTATTATCCTGTGAACTGCAAAAGCTAGAAAGCTGAAATTTTGGCGTGGCATCCCTTGTTCACGTACGACCCTGCAAATTTTCAACATCCCCGTGGAAGTTTTGGTGGGAAAAATTATCATTTCGTGAGTCAGAAGAGCTTGGAGGATGAAAATTTCAGGAGGATGTTACCTGCCTAAACAAGGGGTTCACAAACTCGAATTCATTTCCTAAGTATGCTGAGCTCTCACGTACGAACACATGAAAGTTTTGACGCAAGAATCACTCGAAAGCCAGAAAATTAGGAAATTGGAATTTTTAAAAGATAATTACCCTCCGAGGTTTCAGATCCGGCTCTCACTTGCTGGTGCGTAAAATTTTTAGTGGGAGATTCCGCAGCTTAGAAGCCAGACAACATTTCACGCTTCATTGTTTGTTTGTGACTGTTTGTGTCCAGTATTCCTGTTTTGTAGATAAGCCAAGAGCGAGAATTTTTTGCTACTATGATTGTGGATGCTGTTTCTTATCTGGACGAAACCCTACCGATCAATATGATTGGGATAAAGAAAGTGAGCGGTGGATCTCATACGGTATGCCGTTGTGCTTTACATTGCTTTGCTTCGTTTTTGAATCACTGAAATATTGGCGCCTTTTAAAAGAGCGAATTTTCAGGAATCTCAGCTTGTGAAAGGCGTTGCCTTTAAGAAAGCATTCAGTTATGCCGGCTTTGAAATGCAGCCAAAGCATTATAAGAATCCGTATGTTGCTATATTGAATATAGAATTGGAGCTTAAAGCAGAAAAGGGAAATGCTGAAATGCGAATCAGCAATGTTGAAGAATATCAAAAGGTTCTGATCTCCCTACTTTTTGCATTTCATTTACTTAAACGTACGAACATATTCTTGTCTTGCGCATGATGGTTAACTGAGGGCGTTTGATATTTCTTTGTTTGCCGGTTCCGTTTAGTCGATATTTGCAAATATTTTATAGAGTATTTCTCTCAATCTGGCGATGGTAATAAAATCGTACGTGAAGCTCGTGATGCTTTATAAGCTGCCGTGTCGTGTGGCAAATTACTTTGCTTTAACTTCTTTCATAAACTGTAGATTGTGGATGCAGAATGGACACTGCTGTACGAGAAGTTGGAGAAAATCCATGAATCTGGTGCGAAAATAGTTTTGTCACGACTGCCCATTGGTGATGTGGCAACTCAGTGGTTTGCTGACAGGTGCGTTTTTATTTATCAGCAGCAAAGCGATGCCTCAGTCTCTCTTTACAAAATTAAATAGGTGTTATACTTTTTAAAGTATTTTTTACTGATATTGAAAAAAATCATGTTGCTTTCTCATGAATTCGCTTTTTAGAATTATTTATCTTTTATTTCGTTTCAGAGATATGTTTTGCGCAGGGCGTGTTGAGGAGGCTGACTTGGACCGAGTGATAGCGGCATGTGGTGGCACAGTTCTTACGACTGTCACTCAAATTGATAAAGAAGCCCTCGGAAGTTGTGCTGAATTTTACGAGCGACAAGTTGGGAGTGAACGGTGTGATTTTTTTCCTTCTTTTGCTGCTTTTCAACCTTGTCGCATATTGACGAAGCCGGGCAGACAACCGAAGCGGAGGATACTTTAGACGTATTGACAATGTGTTGGGAGGTGTGCCGTTTGGGATACAATTTTGAACAGGGAAGTTAAATGCATTTGCCATATGTGTGGCTCACT